TTTTTCGATGTATGTACACCGAATACGCGGAGATTTATGATCCGATTTAAGTGATTCTTTTCTTTGTTTAGATGCAGAATAGTGGCCATTTGACCCCATAAAAATTTTAAGTAGTTTGGCCCAGTAGTTTTCATTTTATGAACATTTTTACAAGATTTTATTTAGTTTCACCTGTCATACGTATCATAATTTTAAGATTACGGGGTTGACGTCTGAAATATCCGTCGATGACAGTTTTGAATGACGTATATGATATTACTCTACGTATGAGAGCCGTGATAGCTCAGTGTCCGGGCGCTCGCCTTTATTTAATATACTCGAGCAACCTGAGTTCGATCCCCGGTGCCAGCACCAACGAAATTGTCAATTTTAAGTGCTGAATAATCACGTGCTCAGCGGTGAAGGAAAACATCACGAGGAAACGTGCATATTTTCGTGCATATTTTCGATATCAATATTATATACATTTTTATACTAAAGCTTTCATCTGTTTCACATTAATTCACATTGTTCTTTAGGTTTATATAGTAGAGTAGTGTATATTAGTGTAGGAATTTCATTAGTAAGTAAGCTGTTTATAATATTAAGTTTTATTTTGTTTAGAGCTTGGCACCGATTTCAAACATATCAATAGGTAGCTCATACAAATAATAGTATTTTATTAATATTAAATGTGTTAGGTTTGCATAAGAGGTCTATTAAATTAAAACTTATTTAAGTAATTTTATACCTTTTAGTTTTTAAGTCGGTTTTTTAAACGTAGTTTTTTTTTGCGTTGGTATAAATCGTGACGCAGTGAAAAAGCGTTATGCAGCATTCGTGCAACAGCCGAGGCTGCTGCACGAATGCTGCATTGTTACAAAACACCAATAACACAGGTAAAAAATAAATTACTTGTGCGTATTACAATAAAAATAAGTAAACTCTTCTAGGAATCAAATAGAATGGAACAGAGCAGTTTGGAAAAAAAACATGGTTTATGATAATGAATACCTAGTCCACATGGACAAATCCACAAAATGTTATAATAAAAAAGAACAGAAGATTCTTTTTTTGTTTAAACAACTAACTAGTTTTCTAGCCGAGAGGTGGTCGCGAGCTACGTCCATAGATAAAAGTTACACTATCCAAACCCGCAAACGTATTAAAACAAGGTTGAAATGAAAAAAGCCACAAGAAACGCAATATAAGCCTTGTATCCGTACCGTTGCAAAGAATACACTTTTTCGGAGTAAAAATAACGGTATACACGCGAAATATAACTCGTAAGCTCTATTGTTGTAGGCAAAGAGAAAACTATAAAAAATATGGCAAACCAAGTAGACGACAGACGATGTACGAATCTTTAATAAACTTTAAAACATAAAGGATTGTAAGAAGAACCTGTAACAGATTACGCAGCTCTAAAAATGAATTTTTAGTCGACATAAAATTCCTACTAAAAATTTGATCCTCCAACGAAGAAACGCTTTGGGTGCAATTCTAATGGAATTATTTGTATAATATAATAATTGTAGTTGTGGAGGAATGGATGGAATTATTTGCGACTACCTTGGTGTTATGAATAATCATGAAAGCTTAGGTAGCCGTTTTAAGACTTTTTGAAAAACAGGATAGTTTAATAATGTGTATGACAAGTTGACAACAAGAAGTCCTGTTTATATTTATACTCCTTTTGGGGAGTTTGGAAAAATTATGAGGGTGAAATTTTTATGATGCGCGTCCCCGACATCGACGAATCTTTGAATTTGAACTACCAATAACAACTTTTTGACAATTACCTTAATATTCAAAGTTATTTAATTAAACCATTATCAATTGTATTTAATGTCTTTTACACAAACAAAGAGTATGAGACAGGGGATAATTTTTTTAATTTTTATTATGTTATGCGAAACAAGTATAACTTAAACACACATAATTATTATTTTCTTATGTTGTCAAGAACAATCATAAGAAAATACCGTAATTATTAAACATTACCTTTCCAGAATTACCAGCTCGAGATGTTTGATAACTATACATTTTTATTTGATCTATGCTGAAATAATGATGGTGTGATTGGTATAATTTTTTTGAAACAATGACTGTTTGAAAATATTTGATTTTTTAAATTATAATATCATAGTATATGACGTGGGTACTGTGCAACATGTGAGTACCATTCCACACAGGTTACTGGTTGTAATAAAATACCGAATATGTAGATATAATATGCAACACATTCTATGTGAGACCCTTTAGAAAAAAAAAAAAGGTTGTCACTGCGGTTGCTTCAGATAAATTGTTATGTACCACATTATAATAAAAAAATTGCTGATGGTGTTAAAATGGTATCATCACAAATCGAAATACTATTCATTAAAATAACAAAGTTAGAGAGAGACTGAGAGAGACACATGAAAAAAAATTGTGTCTATTTATGAACACACATAAGTTATACTTCTTTAGAGTAACATAAGAACAAATTTTAATACTATACCATGGCAACAAAGCATGATGATGTAGGTTGCAAAGCAAGTGTCCTTTAGGGAGTTGGTGTGCACACTCATCTTAAAAATTGTAAAATGAAAATGAATATTCAATATATTATAATAAAAAATAAGCCAGTGATTATTTAGACATTTTAACTAAAGTTTAAGATGCAAATTATGCTTTGCTATCTTTAATTTAAATTGAGTTATGTCCGTTTTCAAAGAATAATTCAAATAATAATTTATTGCTAATGGGCTTGATGGAACTAATCAGTTTCATCCATATTTCTCAAGTCTGTTTTGCTCCTTAAACAGGGAAAGTTATATTTATACTTGTTCTATTAATTACTACTAATGGCTACACGACAAAGACATTCTTTGACTCATCTTTGGTAACATCACCTTAATTAATATCACTACTGCTTTTAACAATAAATGGAATATTGGCCTTTGATAAATTAAATCTGATAATAAGATACAATATTAATACATTTTATTGGTTATTGTTTAAAAGGCAACTAACCAAAATAAAGATTGTTCTTTTCTTTTATGAGAAAGTGGCTTATTTTTCTTAGGTCTTTTAAACTACACAACTCCCTCTTTTTTTTTGTTTTGTGAAACTTTATTAACTCCCAATTATATTATGATATAATTTTCTTTCTTTGCTAGATAATAATCTGCACCTGTCTGGTCTTTTGTTTTAGGATATTCAAACATCTACAAACAAATACTTGTAAATCACAATATTATGCTATAGAGTAGGTAGTAATATTGTCTAAGATCTATTTACCATTTTCTACAATTATTCACTATTGCATTGATGTATGAATACTGTAAAAAATGTGAACAAAACGAAAGAAGAGGACAAGGAGATAGCAAAAAATAATCCTGAGACAAGCAAATGCATGTCACTTTGATTTTAATCGACAAACTTGATCTGATGTCCCAGAAACTAGGCCTTCAATTGTAATAGCCTTTAATTCTGGGACTCAATGATACATAAATTCAAATTCAAAATATTTTTATGCACATAGATACTTGCATATCCTTATGAAATATTGAAATTTTAAATAAAATTTAATACTTTCTTTGGTAAGTTTCCACCGGTTCGAAAAGCAGTTTCCGTCGCGAATAAACTCGTAAGGAACTCAATAATTGCTCTTTTTTAAAAAGATCAGTTTACAATATAATCGAAAAGGTATAGTATTATTTTAGCCTAAGTGAGTATCAACAGTATTAACTCCACACATTGACATTGTCAAGATATTCCACAATGGTATAGAATGCTTGAGCCATAAGTTTACTTTTAATTTTGCATTTAAATTGATCAAGTGGTAGACTTAATGTCAACTGTAAAATTTTATTATACATTTCCACACTTTGCCCCATGAACAACCTATTTACTTTTGTAGATGAAACAATGGCATAGTTAGTTTGTTCTTATTTCTAGTATACAGTTAATGTCTGTCACTAGTCTTCAGATAATAATTTAAGATTATGTCTTACATACAAAACATTAAAATAAATATATTGAGATGCGAAGTGATCATATTAATCTCTTTAGAAATACATAATTTTATAATAATAAGATATCATTATCATATGAATAAAATATCTTGAAAATATATTTGATATTTAATTGATTAATCACATTAATTTTATAAAAACTTTTTCCAACTTTACAAGAAAAATGATATAACTTCAACAAAATGTTACAATTGCCACCTCACTCACTGCCCAGCTACAGTAATGCATAAATGCAGTATTGAGGTATTTCAGCAATACATAACAAGGCAGATGAAACCTATACAATTTTTTTGCAAAGCGATTACATCATTTTAAGAATTTTGCCAAAACTCACCTATAGGCACGATTCTTTAAATTTTGTGAGTGTACCCACAATACAATTATAGTAACAACACAACAAATAAAAATGTAAAATACTTAAACTGCCACTTTCATCTCTATCAGTAATGAGTGTTACTATTTAAAACTGTAGTTAATAACTAATGAGAAAATAAATCACCAGCCACTTACATTTAGTGTTATCACAACTTTTTGTTTAAAGCAGTTACAATTGAAATAAATTTCCACACTGCCACAGGATAATTTTATGGACCGAAATTTAGATAAAGGTCACCCATAAAAGCTTTTTACTTAAACTTTTATCATACAAGTTGATTTCTTGAAAATTTTATAATTTAACTAAAGAGTTTAAACAAATATTATCGTTATATATTTACCAGTAATAAGATGGATTGTCAATTTAAAGACTTGAACAGAAACGTAGAATAAAGTATACACATTATTTTATAACGCTGTAGGTACGTGAACAAATGCATAAATTTGACATTTATACTTCGCCATTTTCGCCCGTGCAATTATAACAAATATTCATGTTCTAAGTAAACTAAACATTATTAAAACAGTTTAAATCTGAAAGAAATACGAGTCAAAGTGTTGAAACCCACCGGAAAAGTAATCAAGACCAAACAGTTTAATAAAATGGCAGAAGGGTCAACTTACCTCGACATCAGCGTTAGCAGCAGAATTCGAGGGCTTATGGTCCGAATTGTTTTGTTGTTCCTTTACGAGGTTGTATAAAACTTTAGAGTCATCTGTAGTAATATTTGTGACACTTTTATCTGGGGCTTTCGGTTCCTTATCATACTCCGGTGGAGGAGCCATCTTGAAGGAAGAGCAATCAGACAGATGACACAAGTCTTATGACTTTAACACATTAATATCACTGCCTTCCTCTCTTATGATGTTTCCACGCTTTAAAAATTAAATCATTTTGAGCTATTAATTTATTTATAACACGTCTAAAGTTCTAAGAAAGTGAAAAACCGAATTCCTCATTTTCGACAGATATCAACTAACATTTTTACAACTATATGAATAATGGTGACTTAAATGTTCAAACGCCCTCTACCGGCACATAGGAAAAAGATTTTGGGACAGCTTAAAAATATGAATTATTAGCCAGAAACACCCTTTTATTTTTATTAGGACTTTACTGTTAGCCCGCGCACTCAAGAGAAACAACCATGATGCACGATGACGCCGTACGTCCAGTCTTCATTTGGTGGCTGGACTTAAGCGGTTACTCACGCACCGAGTAACGCAGATTCTCTTGGGACATGGTTGTTTCGAGAGATACCGTGCCGCTTAGCGGAGAAAGAGCTAACAGCGCCATACCACCATTGCGACGTATGTTCCGAGGAGTCGGCCCAACACGCACTGGAGGAATGCCGAGCCTGGCGGGAGCAGCGCCAACAATTGAGGGCTATCTTGGTGGGGCACGATCTGTCGCTGCCTGCCGTGTTTCGCCCTATGATGGACATCGAGAGGTCGTGAGGTGCAGTCTTGCAATAAGGGCTCGATAGGGGTTCCGTATACACGGCACCATGTGGCTTGACCGGATGTCCTAACACCCGGAGGGAGGAGGCCTGAGAAGTACTCAGTCGCGCCGGGATTCGCGGAAGATTGCGCTTTTCGTGCTTCCGTATCGGGGATACAAGGAGACAGTGCAGGTGCAACGTGGATTTTAAGTGTTTACCTCTGTGTTCCTTGGGAACTCCCACAGGCACATACTCAGTAGGAGTACTGCCTACACGTTAGGCGATGGGGGATCCATAAAGGATCATTCAAATTTTACACACATAAAAATATTGTGCGTGTGGCGCTAGATACTGTGTGACATCAGTGGTCGTTAACCCATTTGGGCCCCTGTCACTTCATTCAAGAGGCGACGCGTTGATTCTTTTGATGTCTTCATTTCAATAAGCTGCACATAGTTATTACTATGGGGGTCCGGTTACGAGACGAAGAAACGTTACGGTTTTGGATCAGTTGAAGATGTTTCAAGAGATCTATTATTATCATGGAACGTGTATATACTTTGTATACTTTGTTTCTTATTGTAATTATTTTCTTAATTAATTACGTAACGAGTGAATAGAATAGCACGACCAAGTGAATTGGTGCTCTCATGTTCTGTGATTAAGGAGTTCGCGTTCGCTCGTGCCTGGTGTTGGCTGGTGGTGAAATTCATTATACCCTCTGTATAGAGGAGGCCTTTGCCCAGCAGTGGGACATGTATAGGCTGTTACTTTACTTTTTACTTTTTAAAATACCTGGACTCTCCCAATCAGAGGTCGCAGATGTACAGCCGAGCGGTTCATTGTGATGTTGTCTTATACTACATGCTAATTTCCAAGTCGTTTCTCAACTCAAAGCTAACAGCAATGTCACTTAAGCAAAAAAAAGCATGTGTTGACCATTGATTTTTTATGTGCGCATTTCAGTCAGTCAGTATATATGTCTTATCTATGGTATTGCGTTTGATGTGAACTGTCAGAAATTGTATAGGTACCTACACTAAAAATTTACATTTGTGAAAAATGTTAATAGTTTAAATTCATTTATTTAATTATTTGAAAATTTGAAGTTCGGCGACATTATTGTGCATCGACTTAATTGACTTTTTTTAAGCTAATACAATGGCTGAAACCAAAGAAAATATTTTTCTTTTCGTTCCTAATATCATCGGTACTAATATTATATTCTTCATTATTTGCAATATATGTATCTGTCAATACTTTTCATCATTATTATTATACATTTTTCAGGATTTGCTCGGATTATTCTTGCAATTATATCTTTTTATTACATGTCTACGCATTGTGTGTTAGCAGTGATTTGCTATATAATATCAGCTTTGTTGGACGCAGTTGATGGTCATGCTGCAAGATATCTTAACCAAAGTATGTATTACCGGTGATATTTATTAAGAATTTAATTAGACGAAAGCGTCATTCTAGCACCGTTTTTGGCTCAGTTTTCCATTGACGTCCGTCGAGGTGCGGTTTGATATTTTTTTACAGAAAGGGTCCATTATTATAACACGTAGTTTCAATATGCAGTAACGCGTAGTTTTTGAGAAAAGAAATATTTAAAACTTGTTTTTTTAACCAAGAGAGCCCGCCATTTTACTAATTAGACTTCAAAATCTCAATACACAGTACTGCCAATGTGATAAATATAATATAGGAAGTGAGCGACTCATTTTGATTGTAAAACAACGTAGCTCATTCATGGTTATTTTTTTTATGACCACCCAGAATGTTAGTGCAACAGTTTAAGTACAAAGAGTACATTTTTAAAAACGGCTTGTCACTTATATCAGTAAATTTTGTTTTATTAATTTTTTGTATAAAAAATAAAAATGAAAAAATAATATCTCAACAAATATACATGTCATTGCATTCTAATATATGGTCTCTTTAATATCTTAAAATATATAGGGTAAAAAAAAATAATACCTTAAAAAATATATATAAAAATCAGTTATCACATAACAACACTAACATTCAATAAAAACATGTTCTTTTTGTATTTGTGGTATCCAGGTACTTAAATTTTTTTTTTCTAAATTATTATTTTGTATTAGCCCCAACTAACTCAAATTCGACTTGTGAATTATATTTTGTATTTTGTCACAGTAAAGTACTAATACTTTTCTTATTGTGTCTAAATTGACTCTTTGTAAAAAAAGTTTCATATAATTAACAGGCACCAAGTTTGGTGGTATGCTAGACCAGTTGACTGACCGGGCTGGAACAGCTGGATTGATGATGACTCTTGCAACATTTTACCCTAACTACACATTTTGGTTCCAATTATCAATGGTCATTGATATAACCGGTCACTGGATATACCTGCACACATGCACATTGCAGGGAAAGACCTCTCATAAATTTATTAACATGGCGGAGAACCCCATAATGCATGTGTACTATACAAACAAAACTGTGCTCTTCCTCATGTGTGCTGGTAATGAAGCATTTTATGCTGCCCTCTATGTTATGCATTTCTTCCCTGGACCTACTGGTGAGTTTATAGATTTTAGATGAAAATCCAATTAAACTTTCAAAGCTATTAATATAATTATTATATATATCATGTTATATGATAAGGTAAAGATTAAATTAACACTGGGAACTTATAAAAGAATAAAATATGTTTTACGCAAAATATTATGATAAGTATATTTTACATTGCAGATAGTATTTCATTATTCATAGCAAATTAGCTTTGAGAATATTCACCTGCAATCTACAATAAACACTCAATTTAATTACAATAAACAATCATAATTTAACTAGTTTGTTTTCAGTGGAAAAAAAAATATAAATTCTCAATAATAGTTCCACATTTTCTTTTAATAAGGAATCACTTAATTTATAAGAGATCAGAATAAGATTTGTATTTAGATAAATAATATGTTATAGTGTTAAAACATAAAAAGCTAGTTTATTATTTCAGCCTATTAATTTGAATGTAAAGAGCAACATTATTTTATAGAAACTTTTAGTACATTCAAACTAGTTTTAGTTGTGTTAACTTTATTCTAATTGTTTAATTTTTGTCAATAGTGAACAAGATAAGCCTTAAAATGGTGTTGCATTATTAATTTTATGAAGAATTATGGAAGTTATGTTGTACAACTAAAAAACAGTTAAGAAAATAATATGTAGAGATTAGGTATCATGATTTGTACATATATAATTATTCTCATCATTTTGATAAATAGATAAACTGATTGCTGTTGATTTATTTTATTATTAATTTACTAAGCCCTCTTTTTATATAGTCCATATCTAGCTGTTCTTGATATGTTTTCAGTTATTGGGGTTGGATTATTCAAGTTAATTGCCCTCCTGACTATGCCAATAGCAGTTGTAAAGGCAGGTATCTCTGTCCTCCATGCCATTGTCGCTTCTCTAAACTTGGCCATTATTGATGTTAATGAAAGAGCTGCTATCGCCGAAAAACAGAAGAATTAAGGAGTACCAATTGTGAGTATAATTTAACAATCTGTTGGAAAAGTCATGATGTAAATACAACACTATTTAGTTGATAAAAAATTTAATTTCTAAATTCAAAAGAAAATATCTAGATTTCATTTATAGAACAAATATTAATACTGGAACTTTAAGTCCTAATGAATACCATTTTTGTTTATTTATACTTTATGCATACAAAATGTATGTATTGAAGCAGACTTAATGCCATCAGCATTAGTAGAAGAAGTAAGTATTTCCTTAATTTTTAATATGAGAAATATGAGGACAAATGTTATTTTGTTTTTATATATGTTTGATACCTGTTTTATTAATATATTTCTTAAATGTATTTAATTTATAGGTTCAACAAACTCGAATTTTTCAAATAAATATATGATCTAGCAAATAGAAATAAGCAACCTTATTAGCATTTGTTTTCTATGTATTAATAATTAAAATATACATATAATTAAATATAGAAAACGAAAAAGATTCATTCTATTATATTTGTTGGGATCATTCCATACATTTGTGAATGCTATGAATACCTAAACATTTAAATTGAATTGTTTTATCTTGACTTGTTTGATCTTTATTGTATTTTAAACACATGTTACCAAAAGTTAATGTTGTCAATTTAAAAGTTTTTACATATAATTGCAACATTACATTCATGTATTGTAAAGATCATTTTTATCCTTTTACTGAACATTTTTAAAGTTTTGTTATTTTGTTAGATATATTTTTTTAAATGTATTGTTTCAATGTTTCAAATAATTGTATATTACTAATATTACTTGTATTAATTTAATAATATCATAATGATATTTTGTTGGGTAATTAAGCAAAGTTTTTAATAATATGCACTGTATTACTCAAACTGCTATGAATAATGAAATACTGTTTGATTGAAGTACATTTATTTATTAAATTAGACCCAAAATGTACAATTAACTTCACATTTTTCTTTGAATTATGCATAGCATGTTATGAAAGCAAGCATTTACTTATAATATTTTATTGATGTTGCAAAATTTTGTTTTTCTCTACAGCCTTGTCAAATATTATTAAGTTTTGTAAAGCTTATGGTATTATACCACATAGGTTATTAAGTCAAATGAATGGAATAATATTATGTATATTAAAGCTATGAATGAATGTGCCCTGATAGCAGTTTCCGGGCACTTGCTTTTAATTCAATATAATTGAGCAACCCTGAGTTCAAATCCTTGTGCCTCCACCACTGAATTGGGTAAAATTTTTAAGTGCTGAAATACCAAGTGCTAAATGGTATAAACATAAACATTGATAGGAAAACTGCACATTTTCCAAGTAATACATATTTAGAAAATATTTTCTAAATATGTGAAGTCAATCTGCAGTGTTGTCTAGTGGCCTATGTCGTAATAATAACCTCTGTACAGCAGAAACCAATTCCCAGCAGGGGGCTATACCTACATTATGGGCTTCATAAATTGACGCGATCTCATAATTATATGTTGCATTTAGGTTATAATAAAAATAATCGTCAATAATAGTACTAATGTAATATTGTTGTATGGCTAATAAATAAATAACAACACTGATTTCTTAATTTTTTTTCCTGTCTTGACTATAGAAGATTGAACCCGGTATTCCTTAGCAGTCTTTCCGGCGTAAAGTATAAGAATAATACTTTCGCGTATAGATAAGTATTAAAGACTGTAGGTTGGTCGGCCAAAATAAAATGGTGAGGATAGCGTAAACAATTTTATATATTAATTAGACTACTTCCTACATCTTAGGACAGAGTAACGTCCTATACAAAGGATAAGAGTGTTCTACCCTATCACTGTTTTTTTTTTTGGGCTGGATGAGCCACTGTTGGCCTTAGGGGCCTTTACAGATCCGACGGACTTGAGGTGGCCTGGCGCACGAGGTGCCTAGCCTGAACCTCGGCGTACTATTATTACGCGTTATGGTGACTAAGCTCGAGGGCTCCCGGGGGAGCCTCGGCTCGGGCCGTCACGCTATTATTATTACCGGTTTGGGAGGCCGCCAAGCTCTTAGGGCGCTTTGGCGGGCGCTCCATGGAGTGATCAGGCTCAAGGGTCCCCGAGAGGGGACCTCGGCTTGGGCTGTCACTCAGCACGCGTTTAGCATTCCGATTCGAGGGTGCCCGAGAGGGCCGGACCTCGGCTCGATCGGTAGCTATTATCTGACTGGGGGAATTACTAGTGCTAACATTACTACCACTTCGGAGAGCGTTGGCGCTGGGAGAAGTGGCGGAAGAAACTCCAGCAACGCTTCTATCATTAATAGGGGAAAACCTGCCAGGTACGTGGCGGAACCTAGTATATGTTTGCCGCACTCGCCGGCGAGTGCGGTGTGTTTTTGTATGTTTTTCTTGAGTTTTTTGATCCTTTCGATGGCGATAGTCGTCTCATCGTCAGGGAAGTCGAGAACGTGACGCGGTCTTCGGTAATCGCGGCGGAAAATATTTAGCGGCAAGGGCTTGTAGGTGACGGCACCTACGATAAGTGGGTTGGGATGCGCGGCGGCGGAATCGAAGTATCGGCGCGACGCCGACTTCAGGAATTGCGCGATGGTGGGCAATTCTAGATCGACATGTAGGTCGATATTGCGCATGAACCAGGGTGCTCCCGTGGCTCTGCGCAAGAATCGATTTTGAATCACCTGAAGCCGGTGTATTTGCTTCGGAGCAATGTGAGCGAAGACGGGGCTCGCGTACGTCATAATAGGGCGAACTACTGCCTTATATAAGGTCACCTTGTTCCGAAGGGACATTTTTGACGTTTTATTGAGGAGCGGGTAGAGGCGACCGAGCACGAAGGCCGCCCGGTTCCTGACCTGGGTCACGTGCTGGGTGAATTTAAGCTGGGAGTCGAGGACGACGCCTAGATATTTGACTTTATTAACCCATGGTACTGGGCTGTCCAAGAGTTTAACGGGGGGTGGAATGGGTATGTTCTTTTTATGCGCGAAAAGGACTGCCGCGCTTTCGGCGGGATTGATTTCGATCTTCCATTGCCGAAACCAGTCAACTATGGGTATGGCCGCAGCTTGGAGGCGTCGATGGATCAATTCGGGTGTTCTGCCTGTGGTATAGATACAGGTGTCGTCGGCAAAAAGAGCAAGTTCTACATCTTTGACACGCGGCATGTCATTAGTGTAGAGAGTGAACAAGACTGGTCCCAACACCGACCCTTGGGGCACCCCGGCTCGAACGGGTAGTCGAACACACGCCCTCGACGCGATAGCGAAAGTTTCGATTACTTAGGAAGTCTCGTATTATGCATACGAGACGGGCGGACACTCCGTACCCGTATAGCTTGTATACGAGCCCGTTGTGCCAGACTTTGTCGAACGCTTTTGCCACGTCCAGGAAGAGTGCACCGGTGTTGAGACCCCGTTGACGTTTAGTTAAAATGTGCTCCGTGATGCGGTGCACTTGATGGGTACATGAGTGTTTGGCTCTAAATCCAAACTGCTCTGGGATGGGGAGCTCTTTGGTGTCCATAAGGGATCTTAAGCGGGCTAATATTAGTCTTTCAAAGATCTTCCCAAATGTTTTGAGAAGACTTATTGGACGATATGAGGTTGGGAGAGTGGCGGGTTTAGAGGGTTTGAGGAACCCTATGACATCGGCTTCCTTCCACTCGGATGGGAAGAAGCCTTCGGTTAAGGCCGCGTTGTAAATTAATACTAGTATCTGAAGGATGCTATTAGGGAGGAGCTTGGTCACCTTATTGGTGATACCATCTGAGTCTGGTGCTTTACGCGGGCGTAGTTTATTAATGGTGTCTATTAGTTCGGAGCACGTGACTGGGGGAACGGGATCGCGAAGTGGCTCTAAGGCTTTCCTTTCTACCTCTTCGTTCACCTTGCGGAGGTGTTCGGGGTCGATCGGAAGCAGACTGGGGGAGCATTGAGACTCTAGGCTGTCAGCCAGGCATTCGGCCTTCTCTTCGTCCATCATTGCTGGCGTACCTATCGGACGGAACCCTATCACTGAAATATTATGTGCTTATATACAAAAATATAATGAGTCATCACAACTACATTACAAATCAATGCTCTTATTAAATTACTAATACACTTAATAAGATTGACCTATTAAATTATAAATTATTATTAAGCATAGTTTATTATATAATATTATACCAGATATGGTTTTAAAGTATAATCGTTATTGCTCGTATATTAAGCAGTATTGCCAGTGGATTGTAACACTCGGCCATCCTGCTGCAGCCGTGTCCCACGGCGATCTTCCTGGCTTTCAGTATTGACATCGGAATCCTTAAAGATAAATAACACGGCAGTCACTGTGTAGAGACAGAATATACCTTGCTTTTTATTTATATTATATATGTTTGTAAATTGTTTATATAGTATATGATCTGTTCTTTGATATTATAACACCCTGTATCCAGGCTTGAACACACAGCCGCCCTTCTAAGTAATAACTTTTATGGTATTCTTATGAACTTGATCACATAGCCGTCCCATTACATAGTGATGATCACACAGTTCTATACTTTGTGCAATATGGACTTGATCACTTAGCCGCCCTCTCACGTATGGATTAGATCACACAGTTAATATTTCCCTCTTTACTACGGATTTAATCAGACAGCAGTCCTTTCACAATGAAATAACAGCACACAGTTTATTTTTCCTTTTTTATACTATGGAATTGGACACACAGTCTACCATTTTAAACAAAATAATAATGATATGTATATATAGCAATGTATAAGTTTGTTATATACCTGGATGTGACAATATTAGCAATATTAAGTAAATATCAATATATGTGCATTTATGCACGCATTTAAATTGTGATTTATCATTTTATCTAATGTTTAAAATATCACCAACCTATTGCGCAAATGGTCTAGATGTTCCCGATGAAAACCAGCACGTAGCAGTCGCATGCCCAATACGCAGTATCGCAGCGTTGTTGCAGCATGCGGCCACGCGCCTCGTGCCCTTGGGGGCAACACGTAGCACAGTTTAGGTTGGAGTTGATGTTGGGTTGATGTTTCACTGGCCACATTATCAGTTCCTCTTCTCCATACGCATCCTTTACATTATGCTGCTGTTTTCAGGTCGGAATTCGGAGATAATCTCCGCAATCTCCACATCTCTTGTCGTCACGTATCTTTTTTTCCAGGTTGGACCACGGTATTCAGAGGCGAGAAAAAAAAATTCTCAATCTACCCCCGTCGTGGTTAGGCAAATTTCCTCCGCAGAATTCGTGGATTTTGGGTGTTTTCACTTACGTTTGCCTAAGCCATCGCGATATGGCCTAGATATTTTGAAACTGTATCCCACTTCTGAGATATTAAAGACTGTACGTTGGTCGGCCAAAATAAAATGGTGAGCTATCCTCACAATTACTCGTAAACAATTTTATATATTAATTAGACTACTTCCTACATCTTAGGACAGAGTAACGTCCTATACAAAGGATAAGAGTGTTCTACCCTATCACTGTTTTTTTTTTTGGGCTGGATGAGCCACTGTTGGCCTTAGGGGCCTTTACAGATCCGACGGACTTGAGGTGGCCTGGCCGCACGAGGCGCCTAGCCTGAACCTCGGCGTACTATTATTACGCGTTATGGTAACTAAGCTCGAGGGCTCCCGGGGGAGCCTCGGCTCGGGCCGTCACGCTATTATTATTACCGGTTTGGGAGGTTGCCAAGCTCTTAGGGCGCGTTGGCGGGCGCTCCATGGAGTGATCAGGCTCAAGGGTCCCCGAGAGGGGACCTCGGCTTGGGCTGTCACTCAGCACGCGTTTAGCATTCCGATTCGAGGGTGCCCGAGAAGGCCGGACCTCGGCTCGATCGGTAGCTATTATCTGACTGGGTCCCTGTCACTGAAATATTATGCGCTTATATACAAAAATATAATGAGTCATCACAACTACATTACAAATCAATGAACTTATTAAATTACTAATACACTTAATAAGATTGACATATTAAATTATAAATTATTGTTAAGCATAGTTTATTATATAATTTTATACCAGATATGGTTCAATGTTTATTAAGTATAATTGTTATTGCTCGTATATTAAGCAGTGTTGCCAGTGGATTGTAACATAAGACATACTGCGTGTCTTTACAATCGCGGCAATAAATGAACACACATATAGAGGATAACTTTTTAAAATTGTATTAAACAGTTACATTCTTTAAACATCAATATTTACCGAGTTATTACATTTTACAAAACAACGAACAACACAATTTTGTACAAACAATTTAAATTTTATACGTAAGGTGTTCGAAAACACCTTACGTATAAAATTGTAACGTAAAGTTTATTTGTAAAGGTCACAAAGCATATGAATGGGTGAAATGAATTTAAAAGAGACAAAACATACTGTTAGAAGGAGAGTCTCTGAATGTATGAATCAGTCAGTTGTAGTTGTATAGATGTTACAAATTTTGTTTTTTTTTTTACTTAATTATTTGTTTCAATAATATATTTTTTATGATTATTGGCAAGTGGCATAGACGTGTGTTCATTTATTGTCGCTGTGGTAACGTTTGGTGAGTGAGGTAGCCGGAGCCCAGTTTTGTAAAAGGTTGTCAACGCCATCTGCAAACCCTCGGAGATAGAAGATGTCCATGGGCGGCGGTATTCACTTAAGATCAGGTGAACCGCCTGCTCGCTTAACAACTTTTCACATAAAAACGCAAATAGAATAAATAAGAGTAACATATCTCACAAAAGCTGTTACACAGTGAAAACTCGGTGCGAGTTTATTCGTTACAAATAAACTTACTCGCAGCGATAATGCGCTTCCTGCCTTTTATACATAGTCATTTTCATATGTTCATGTCATATGGTCTATATCACCTGTCACATTTACTTAGTCATATAATATTTAAACGAGAAACAATTTTTAAACGCCGCGCTGTATGGCCATGCATAATCAATACTAGCAAATGCCGAGTTGCTTCTAAAGTAGCAATACACTTCGTTATAGAAGTTTCATCGAACTCATTGGCTGTGTCCTGGATATACTCAGGAGTGAATTAACTACCGACGACCCGAATGGCGTAGTGGGTAGTGTACCTGCCTCCTGCGCCAGAGGGTGTGGGTTCGATCCACACTATTGGAAAAATATTGTGTGATGAACATAGTGTTTTTCTAGTGTCTGGGTGTCTATATCTATAATATGTATTTATTTACAAAAGAAAAGTATGTTTATCAGTTTTCTAGTACCCATAGTACAAGCGTTGCTTAGTTTGGGACTAGAAAATGTTGTGTAAAAATGTGTCCTAAAATATTTATATATTATATTATATTATACAGAGGCACACATTCGTATTACCCACTGACCTATTAATCGTTGGCCATGGCTAGCTTCAGTAAGAACCTTCCTGAAAGTGGGTGGACCTTGTGCAGTGCTGCCAACTATGCCTCTAAAATCAAGATGAAAAAGCCCTAAATGCAGTTTCAAAAGCCCTGTATTGAATTCAAAGATATTGTCTAAAAGAATTTTACGTTTTGTAAAAGGTAAATAAAATATAACTTAGTTTAAGTTACTTTTCATCACAAATAGTTTAAATAACACAATATTAACTAATATTTCAGTAATTATATTCATTAATACACATTATGAAACTTCGTTTTTTTTTTTGAAAAATAATGAAAGAAGTAATGAAGATAAATGAACAATACAAATGTTAATGAAGCATTTATTAACTTTTATTATGTAGGCATATATTAAATAATGAAATGAAGAAATCTTAATAATATTAAATGTTACTAATTTAAAGTAAATTAAAAGAAATGTATTGCAGAATACAAGGATATATTTGTTTAATCCTTCGCTCAGCCTTTAAGGCTGCTCATGCCCGCTCTCATAATTTCATCCACAAGAAGAAGGTTACTAGCTATAACAGAGCAAGAATTCAGGATTTGCTTCTTAACAATGTAATTGTCCAGAATACCCAAATCTGCCGGCTTAATTGCTTCACCAGTGCTCAAGTCTAGACCAATTGGGTCAGGACTTAAGCGAGACTCTTCTTGCAGCTTGACAATAGTATCTTGAGCATCATATCCAGAGTTCACTGCAAGTATTTTAGGTATAATGAGCAAGGCCTCAGCGTAAGCTTGAATTCCTAGACGTGCCTTGCCTTTAACACTGTCTTTGTACTTTTGGAGTTCTAGATTGGCTTTAGTTTCGAAGGAACCAGCTCCTGGGATAACTGCTTTGTCTTCAATAGCATTGTTTATAGCTCGGAGACCGTCACGAACAGCGTCCTTGATTTGAGTCAGGGTATGCTTATTGGGGCCCTTAATAAGAATGGTCACTGACTGGGGATTTTTGCATTCTTCAACAAAGGTGTATTTCTCTTCTCCCAAAATGTGCTCATATACCAGACCAGCATATCCAAGACAGTCTTCATTAAGATCGTCAACCGAATTCATAGCGGAGCCACCGCAAGCAAGTGCTAAACGTTCCATGTTACGCCTCTTCGCTCTGCGGAGTGCAATTATTCCCTCTTTAGCAAAAGCATCGAGAGAGAGGGGATCAATACCTTTCTGGTTGATCACCACAAACGTTTTATTGGTGCCGTCACAAACTTTCTTCTTTAATGCAATAATCTGTAAAATAAAAATTGTACGAACTGACATATGGTATAGGTATAAAAGGCAAAAATTGCCTAGTATTTTTACATTGTGGCATACTGATATGTCCATATATACATGTATAAATGGTATTTTAATATCATTTTCAATAAGATTTTAAATAATGAAAAACTGCTTTCTTCAACAGTAGAATCCTAAAACACTGGAGTAATTTCAAAAATATTTTTTACATAAGCGATTTTAGGCCATAGGACATTCAATTTCAAACAGCGTGCGTAGTACAGCCACCAAATTTCGTGATCATACTACAACCCGATGACGACTAAGATGTTGAGTAGGGCTCTAAAATAATCTGAATGTGTCGGAAGTCTGCCGTCACTATGCAGGTCGATGTTGCCCTGATAAAACACTTAAAATTTTCCAGGTGTCATTTGGAAACTTGTGGGAAAAGACATGCAAGCATAAGACATTATAGTTCCAAAACGTAAGAAAACCATTTAAGGGACCTTGACCAAGACATCATATCTACTCTAGGAGTTCGCGAGGCTACAAAGTCGCCCTGAATAGAAAGCGACTCTATTACTAACAGTTTGGTAACCTTTAAATAGATGTGTGCTCGGAACGTCATGTTGGCGACCCAAGATATTCACCAAGGTCGGGTGACCGTTCTTAATTCAGGTTTAGTGCGGATTCGCCTTTTACGAAACCGAGACGATTGGCGGCGCTTTAGAGGGTAGTAGTTACGCGTTACGTTCGGCTAAGATATTTGTTCTAATAGTAAAGAGATAGTCTTAATAGGTCTTAAGGGATTTTAGGGAACAGATTAAGACAAAAAGAGGCGAAAGCCTTGAGGAAAGCGGGTAGAAAGTGCCCTCAGTATTGAAAATGACGATTGGACAGGAAGCATGGGATTGTGTAAACAAGCCTATCTTGTGCGTTGAGCATATATAGAGCAAGCCTCAACCGCAATTAGGGATTAATCGGACGATAAGCTAGGGGACTGGGTGCATATTTTATGTACACATATTGCTTGGGAATGCCAATAGCAATGGCCTCTTTTCCTCAATTGCGGTAAGGATTTACGGAGCGCTTTCATATACCGGGTCTACTACCAGTGGGCAGTGTGCGATGGTTAATGATCTTAGAGCAGGGCATCCCTAGGGATCTTCTATTCATAATTTGAGGTGCCCAAGTTGAGCTTAATTTGAGACTCCGAGGCTCTCCTAGAGATTCGGGATTGGAGTATGCTCAGTGCAACTTTTAATTCTCTCCTTTCATTCCACAGAATAACCACGGCAACAAATTGCAGGATATGATTTGAATGACTTGTTTTTGTGAATTGTATAAACTTACCTTCTTAACCCTCTGATCAATGAACTCACGCTCAGCCGCAACAAGCTTCTCTCTGTCCTCAGCAGTTTTGTAGAAGAAACCAGAATTAACAGTTGTCTTTTCATATTCAAGGGACACATTACAGGTCAGGATGTAAGCATTTTCAACACGTTTGGGCATGTCAGGATGACGGGCACCATGATCCATTACCAGACCTGCGCAAAGAACAACATCAAAATTAATGCTAAAACAATATTAACAATATAACATAACAAAAAAGTGTTAATTTTGACATATTAAAAACACATTAACAATTACGCAATAATAGTGACCTAGCCTAATGAAACTGTAAGATTGATTTGTTTTGTTACTATAAAACAAATGAAAATTATTAGAGTTGGAAATAATAAATTAATATTTGGTTAATGGTTTTGGTTTTTCTTTGTATGTTTTAAGAATGGAAATGCAATGCTTAAAGCTACAAGTTTTAAGTGTATATCCAATCAGCCCATACCTCTTATAAGTGTGGTCTCTGTAGCAGTTTTATGTTTCATCTCCATCAGCTCAACCATATGAAGATCTATGGGCTTGTTTGGCGTACGGATAGCCAATACTGCATCCACACATGCATCTGTCAGTACTTCAGCCAGATTGGCATGGACCTAGAATTTACAAGAAAATATTCAAATGAGTGAAATAGTATGTTTACAAAGTGCAAATATTAGTTATAACACATATTCAAATTACAAAGACATTGATCACACTAAATCTAGCTGGAATATATTGGAAATACAAAATAATTATATTTAAGGTGAATCTATTCTAAGTAATATAGAAATCAATAAATTAGTAAGTGCAAAGTGTTAAACTTTATCTAACTTAAAACATTTACCTTAGTCTTTAAAGATGTTCGAGCAACATCCAACAAATTTTCACGTTTAATTTCAATAGGTATCTTCATTGATTCCAAAACTTCTAAGGCTTTGTTACGTGCTACATCATAACCTTCTGTGATAATTCTAGGATGTAAACCTGTCATATAACAATAGAACATGACTATTATAACAGATTATCTTTACAGTTCACTAAAAATGGTCATACAAAAAATTTATAAAATGGAAATGTGTAAAGTATGAATATATACAACACCAAAAAAAAGAAAAGCAAGCTGATAGCTCAGAATAATGAAAAATTATTTGCTTAGTAAAGATAATTATTTATTCCTAGATAAATTTTTAATTAGTTTCTGCAGTATTTGTACTTTTTTATTAGAATTTGTAATTTGAAAGGTTTTTATATATTTTGGGTACTTTACGTAGAGGTCTTATTCCTAAATACAACGGAAATATAAAATGCGTAAGTGCTGATTTTGTTTCAGGGAAATGTGGCAGAACAGTATGTAGGAACAACATAATTGTGATATATACTATATTTCTTATGGATATAGTTACTTGCTATTTCCTGTATTTTACATACCTTCACCAATATAAATTTCAGCTTGTTTTAGCAACTCTCCAATTAGCAACACTGTTGATGTTGTACCATCACCAGTGGCATCATCTTGAGCTGTAGAAGCTCTGGCAATAAGGGATGCAGTGGGATGTTGGATTTGCATCTCGTGTAATAAAACATTTCCATCTTTAGTAATTTTTATATCACCCGCACCCGAAACTAACCTACGAAATCAAAAAACCAACAAAAATTTAAATGATGACGATGTATATATTGTAACTATTTACCCTAATGTAGAAAATTCCTAAATATATTTTACATCGAGAATATATAACAGTAAAGATCTTTAAACCTAAATTAAATGCAGTCGTACACCATTAACCGGCAATGCGATGCCAAAAAAACACATGAATCTTTAAGTACAATTTTACAATACCCTGATGTAAATTTTATTTAATTTAACTATTGCTAAATATAAAAACAACAATAAATTATGACAATTCGTGTTAAATTACCAAATATTTCTGAAAATCTTGGAAATAGCTTACATTTTCATTGTGCCTTTCGGCCCGAGGTTAGTTTTCATTACATCTTGGATACCTCGTGCAGCCGATATATTAACTGCTAGGGCTTGAGCAGCCCTTGCAAATTCAGCTTTAGGATTTAACAAACTTATTGCAGCCATTATCTTCAATTTTTAAAGATTAAAGAAATTTCAAAGATGTACAGAAAAATCAAGTTTAGTCACACTTGCTTGTACTTTCAGTGTTACCAATTGTTTAACAAAAAAAAGTGAAAAAGAGTTGTTACAATTATAAATTGATTTGCTAAAACTAAGCGTTAAAACCTGCACGTTGTGAAAATAATTTCGAATTATAATAAGACAAGAAAAAAGGTTCAATATTAAAAATTACTAAAAATTAAAATTCTAATGATTGCCATCCAGGTTGTTTTTGTCGCTTACATTCTGGATAGGTTTTATTTCACTCAGTGTAACTATTTAGAAAAAAAAAAAACTGTTACGTAGCGTACCGTTTGTCTGTCTGTATGTGTATTTCGACTAATCTCTTTAGCCGCTGGACTAATTAAGGCTCTTTTTATTTTGAAAAAAATATTTAAAATATATAGAATTCCACGCAAAACATTAAACCAATTAAGCCACCCCAAGCCCAGAATAGTATATAAAATGTGGGCCAATTTTAATTGATAATTTCTTATTATTATTTTAATTTATTAGGGATAACAATAACAAACAGCTACAATCTATACTATGTATTAATATTGTAAACTTGAAGAGTTGTTTGTTTGTAATTCTTTTAGAAGATAGCCCATTTATCTTCCTAAGCAGAGGCGGATTAAACGTTGAGACCGCTATAGGCAACCAACTCATCGGACCTACATTAAAAATGTAAGGTACGACTGGCATGTAAACCCCAAAATCATGAAATTCCCTATGTAATAATTTCTGGCTTTACACGCCAGTCGAACTCTTTAAAAAGCGGAATACCGTGCTGATAACCTAGAGCAGCAATGTACGCCATCTTGCGAACACGTCGATACAGCCCACCTAATGGAGATGGATCGCGTAATCGAACTTAGGGCTGCGCTACCACCGGTAGGCGAACCTTTACCCTCAGTGACCCCCGAAGAGGTCCAAGATATTATTAAAAAACTTAAACCCAAATCCGCTCCAGGCTCAGAAAAAAATAGTAATAAAGTCTTAAAATCTCTCCCTGGGCCGCTTATCTGCATTTTCAACACACTTCTCTCCAGCAGCTCCTTCCTGGACGACTGGAAAGAGGCCACAGTCATCAAGACATCCGCTAATAAGCCCTCTAGTTATCGATCTATCAGGCTTTTTTTTCACCTGCGAAAAATCCTGCCATCGGATGGGGGAGGGGCAGGGGTATGTGGGAGTCCCAGTCAGAAACGGGTACCCACTAAAAACCCACGTTGCACCTGTCTCTGTCGCATCAGCCAGGGACACGGGAACACGAAGACGCAATCTATCGCGACCCCGGCACGACCATTGCCTTCTAAGGCCTCCTCTTCACGTATGCTCGGCCACCTAGTCCGGCTAATTGGTGCTGTGCCGGTGCAACTAGCACAGCACCCCTCACGAGTACCGTGTGCAGCAGCAGACGCCCCCATGCCACTCGAGGTCCCGCTATTAGGAGGGAAGGTTGCGCGCGTAGGCCAGCCTTCTTCGCCCTGGTCTCCGGCGATGGAAATCCAGGGTAGCAGTTGCCTCCCTTTGTTTCTCCGCTGCCTCCTTCCGGGTGATTACGTCCTCGCAATATGCGAAGACAGCACCCCACGACCTCTCGCTGTCAACCATAGCGCGAACCATGGCAAGCAACGATAGATCATGCCGCATGATAGTATACAGCTCTTGACGCTGCTCCGTCCAGGCTGAGCACTCCTCCAGTGCGTGTCGGGCCGTCTCCTCGGCATCGACTTATCAGCCTCCTCAATTTGTTGGGAAAGCTCTACGAGCAGCTCATATTAAATATACTCAAAGAGTACGTATTTTCAAACCGCCTGCGAGTTGAACAATTTTGCTTTCGAGCTGGACACTTCTGTCCCGACCAATTATACCGCCTAAAGGAATATATTCTGAAAGGCCTCAATCAACCCAAATGCTTAAGCTTAACTTTTCTTCGATGTCGCAAAAATAGCTGATCGCACTCAACGTGCCAAATAGACTCTTGCACACCATCCGGACCTTCCTGTTTAATCGCTCGTTTCAATACCGAGAAGAGGGCACCTTCTCTACGAACCGCCCTCTCATGGCGGGCGTTCCGTTTCGCTCTACACGAGCAATATACCAAAAGACCGACACGTCAATCTTCCGCTTTTCGTGGATGACACGGCGCTCTTTTACACAGATAAAAATCTTAATCAGCTCACTACTCGTCTCCAAAGCTCTAGAAGTAAATCCCGACAAGAGTGTGGCGATTCACTTCATACGAAGTACTTACCCGTCACACCCTTATTAAGGCCCTTGCCAATGCATAAAACTAGGACAAATATTTCTTGACGGCCAACCACTCCCCTGGGAAAAAAAAGGCCATTTTCGACCCTTGCATGACGTTCACATCCCATATTAACGATATTAGAAACAGAGCCGCGTTCATCTCCGGCCGACTCTATCACCTAACCAATGCGTCACGTAAAATGCCCTTAAGGTACAAATTATTATTATATAAGGCCTGCGTAAGACCTATTATGTCCTACGCCCACATAAACCCTACTCGCTTGTACAAGTTGCAAATAGTACAAAATAACTCCATCCGCCGCGCAACCGGTGCGCAGTGGTATCAACGCAACGTCGAACTGCACAGTGACTGCAGACTCCCGACGATTCGCGAAAATTTTAAAGATCTCACCAAACGGTTCTTCGACAGAGGTGGATATCATGCCAACCGTGGTAAGGGCAGCAAATTACCAACCCAACACTAACGTGAACGACGAGAAGCGTCGCCCGCGCAAGGTACTCATCGACCCGGTCGAGGAAGGGGACATAAGTACGTCGGGGGTACCGCCAGATAACACTACACACACAGTTAGTACAACAGCAAATACCATAGATCGTCCTCGCCTTCGAGCACGGCGAAACCAACACAACGCGTACACTAGGTACACCCGCGTTCCAGGGCGGTTCTCGCCGGCCCCCAGCGACCGAATAACCAAGCACAGTCAACGGCTATCGGGGTCTCGGTACGCACCGAATTTGATATCCCCGAAGCGACACTCCTTAGCTAACGCACGCATGTGTACATGTGTGGCCCTACCTACTGAGGAGGGCCTCAAACCCGTGGGTTCTGGCTAGCCTACCGGTTTTGCGTTCGATGAAGCTTAAATAGTCTAAGGACTGAAAGCGTAACATCAGTTATAGAAATTACCAAAAGTAAAAACGCGCGTAACCAAGACAAAAAAGTTGAAAGCTATGTCATAAATTGAAGCAAATTGAGGTTCTAAGCGAAAAAAATAGTTTTGTGTAAGTAGGTGGCTTTATTACTGGCGCAATTAATTTTATGCTATATAATATATTTTTTTATTTTACAATTCCACCCGCGCGCCCCTTGCTCCCCTCGCGCCCATAGGCACATGCCTAGTTTGCCTTAAGGATAATCCGCCTCTGTTCCTAAGGATAATAATAATAGGAAGTCAAAGTTTCAAAATGTAAAGAAATACGCAAGTTGTAATTAAATTTAGATTTAGAGCATACAAATATATCGATATCAACGAAATTAAAGAACAACGAAAAGAAAGAATTAAATTATAAGATTTAATTACACGTTGTTTAGGATATATCGTAATCCTGAATTTGTTGGTGGCAAAGGGAGTGCCCGGGCGAACTGTTCCTTTATGGATAGTGCGAGGAACTACAAAGCAAAGCTAATTTGTTAAATCAATACAATCAAGTAATAATGTTTAAACAAATAACTAAGAGCTAGTATTTTTTTTTTATGTAGAAAAGGGGCAGACGAGCAGGAGGCTCACCTGATGGTAAGTGATTACCGCCGCCCATGAACACCTGCAACACCCGAGGGCTCACAAATGCGTTGCTGGCCTTTTAAGAAAGAGTACGCTCTCTTTTTGAAGGTTCCCAGGTCGTAACGGTTCGGAAAGACTGCCGGCGGCAGTTGGTTCCACAGAGTGGTTGTGCGAGGCAAGAAATGCCTTAAAAATCGCGCTGTTGTGGAACGTTGGACATCGAGGTGGTGTGGATGAAATTTTTGGTTCTGGCGCGATGTCCGATGGTGGAATTAAGCCGCCGGGATCAATCCAAACAATTCCTCAGAACACTCCCCGTGATAAATGCGGTAGAAGATGCAGAGTGATCCAGGATCTCTACGCAGAGCCAGAGGATCAAGCCGATCGGAAAGACTTTGATCGTCGATAACCCTAGCCACCCTACGTTGAATGCGGTCAAATGGAAGAAGCTGGTAATAGGGGGCTCCCGCCCAGAGGTGAGAACAGTACTCCATGTGGGGCCGAATTTGCGCCTTATAGAGGTTTAGGCGTTGGGCAGCCGTGAAGTACCGTCTCGCCTTGCTGAGCACACCAAGCTTCTTTGAGGCCAATTTGGCCTTACCTTCCAATTGACCGCGGAACTGGACGTTGCTCGAGATTTCGACGCCAAGCATTCCGATAATATCTGTAGGAGCTATCTACAGTTTTAATCGCTTGAGTGTTACGGTCACCCAAATTGAATACTTTATATACTACTGTAAAAATATGTATTATGTGTACTCAAATTAAATTCTGCGAAATAAACAGGTAATAACTAGTTAAAAAAATAATAAAATCACGTAAAGAAATTAGTTATTCATTTTTAGGAGACGGTAGTTGCTGCATGTTTCTGAATGAAACTGTCAAGGATTGAAATAATACACATAGAGCATACAGGTGTTTATTTCACATACCCATGGAGACAAAAATAAATGTTCTATTTTCGACCGTAAGTACTGAATGTAATATACTAGAGCTGTCCAGAAACTTCTTCTTGCATAAAAGCATTACCGGTGCTAAAGATTTATCTGTAGATCAAAGTTTTCAATCAAAATGGGTATTATTAGTGAAGAGGCTGAAAATTATAAGAATAAAGGAAATGAAGCATTCAATAGTGAAAACTTTGAAGATGCAATAGTTCTTTATACTAAAGCCATAAGTTTATCTGAAAGAGACAGTCGGGAAAGATCAACATACTTAAAAAATCGTGCAGCAGCCTATCTAAAGTTGAGGGAATTCGAAAAGGTCATAAATGATTGCGATGAAGCTTTACAAATCGTTCCTGAGGATCCAAAAGCCTTATTTAGACGCGCTCAGGCGCTAGAAAATTTGGAAAGGTTTGAAGAAGCATATAGAGATGCAAAAGCCATTTTTAATGTAGACCCAAGTAATAAAGCTGTGCAACCTGTTTTAACGCGTCTGCACGCTGTCGTACAAGAGCGAGCTAGAAAAAATGCCCAAACAAGCAATAAAGTTGACCAAATGTTCAAATTAGCCTTTGATATAAGTGAAGAGATGGAGAAACGTCAGAAGGCTATGGGCAATTTAGTTGTACTTGCAAAAGAATCAGCTGGTGGTGATTTAATGATAAAGAATGGAATTGTCCAAAAAATTCAACAATTATTGAAAGTGGAAAAGAATCCAGACATATATATTAATGCAATAAGAGTTATAAGTCAATTGTGTAAAAGGAGCGTAGAGCGCACTCTTATCATAATCAAAGTAGTGGGCATACCATGGTTTCTAGAAATAATTGACAGTGATATTGAAGAGAGAGTTAATGCGGCTCAGTACTGCCTGCAAGTTATACTCAATACTTTCTCAGGAATGGACACCAAAAAGGATACCAAACCTGATCCACAACTATGTGAAAAATATAAATCAGAGATTGATACACTTCTTACATGCTTAACATATTCTATTACTAACCGTGTTATAACTGGAGTTGCTAGAGATGCTATTATGGAGTTAATAATGCGAAACTGTCATTACACTGCAATTAACTGGGCTGAGAGATTTGTTGAAATAAGAGGTCTACAACGTTTGCTGGAAGTTTGTAGTGAACTTGAAGAATACAAATATGAATCGGCAATGAATATTACTCCTTCATCAGCTACAATTGCAGCTGCTTGTCTCGCAAGAATATATGAAAACATGTATTATGATGAAGCAAGGGAACGCTTTAATAACCAAGTTGATGAGTTTGTTAAAGATAAGCTTTTGGCTCCTGATCTCGAATCTAAGGTTAGGGTAACTGTTGCTATCACTTCACTCCTCCGAGGGCCTCTTGATGTAGGAAACTATGTTATATCTAAAGAGGGTATAATGGAGATGATTCTTGTTATGGCACAAACAGAGGACGAACTACAACAGAAAGTAGCCTGTGAATGTTTAATTGCAGCTGCTTCCAAGAAAGATAAAGCAAGAGCCATTATTAACAAAGGTGTTGACATTTTGAAAAAGTTGTATACTAATAAAAATGATGCTGTAAGAGTGAGAGCACTTGTGGGTCTGTGCAAAATCGGCAGTTTTGGTGGTGATGATGCATCCATTCGGCCATTTGCTGATGGGTCAACTAAAAAACTAGCAGAGGCATGTAGGAAATTTTTGGTCAATCCAGCCAAGGAAAAGGATATGAGGAAATGGGCAGCTGAAGGACTTTCATACCTAACATTGGATGCTGATGTTAAAGAAAAATTGGTGGAAGATAAGGCTGCCATTCAATCCCTTATTGAATTAGCGAAAACAGGTGATCAATCTTGTCTATATGGTGTAGTTACGACATTAGTGAATTTGTGCAATGCTTATGAAAAGCAGGAAGTCATGCCAGAAATGTTGGAACTTGCCAAATTTGCCAAGCATCACATACCTGAGCAACATGAATTAGATGATGCAGATTTTGTTAATAAAAGGTTAACTGTATTATGTAAGGCTGGAGTGACTACTGGTTTGGTAGCTTTATCCAAAACAGAAAGTCATAACTCAAAGGAGCTGATTGCTAGGGTCTTTAATGCTATCTGCAGCCTTCAAGAATTGAGAGGAATTGTTGTACAACAAGGTGGAGCCAAAATCTTAATACCTATGGCTTTAGAAGGAACTCAAAATGGTAAAAAACAAGCAGCACAGGCTTTAGCAAGGATTGGTATTACAATAAACCCAGAGGTTGCATTCCCTGGCCAAAGAAATTTGGAAGTAGTTAGGCCCTTAATTGCTCTGTTACATCCAGACTGCAGTGCTTTAGAAAACTTTGAAGCATTAATGGCTCTCTGTAATTTGGCTGGCATGAATGAAACAACCAGAAATAGAATACTTAAAGAAGGTGGACTATCCAAAATAGAACAATACATGTTTGAGGATCATGTAATGCTACAAAGGGCAGCAACACAATGTGTTTGTAATTTATTACAATCAGATGCAGTTGTTAAAACATATGAGGGTAACAATGACAAATGCAAATTCTTGTACTTGTTGTGTCAAGAAGAAGATGTTGAAACCGTCATGGCAGCTGCAGGAGCTCTGTGTATCCTTACATCAGTGAGTAAAATTTGCTGCAGAAAACTATTGGATTGCCAAGTTTGGCTGGAGACACTGAGATGCTTACTAGCAAATCCTGACAAGGAAATTCAATACAGAGGTGCTTATATTGTATATAACATTGTGTCTGGTGATAAAGATATAGCTGCTAGAATTTTTGAAACTGATGTGATGGAAATATTGATGGCCCTAACAAGATTAAATGAACCTGAACAGAAAAGAACTACTGAATTAGCTCAGAAATGTTTAGATGCAGCTGAAGATATGGGCTTAATAAGGAAACCTGATGAAAATGTAGTTATGAATTCACTAAGTGTTAATGAACACCATGAAATTGATGAGGAAATTTCTAATTAATTGCTCGACAAAAAGTTAATATGGAATAAAAAGTGTTTTTAACAATGTTTAACTTATTGTATTTGATTCAGAATTAATAAAATGTACTTACTGTTATTGATAGACATTATGTTAATATAACATTTTATTGCAGCATGTGTTTTAATCTAATTCCTTGTTTTTACGTCAAAAAAATAAATAAAAATCATTTCTTTGTCTTCGATCCATTCTTAAAAATAAGGTTTTCGAAACAACAATTTATTATAAAAATATCTTAAAGCTTAGGTTGGGTAATATTTTTCCATACACTTTTTAACCCGATGTCCCCCCCAACTGAATCATTCTTTTTGAATTTATTGGCATCTATGTCTCTAATATATAAAATTCGTGTATCACAATTTTAGTGTTTATACTCCTACGAAACGGATTGACCGATTTCAATTAAATTTTATTTGTATATTCAGTAGGTATGTATATAACAATTTTTTTTCAGAAAAATTACAGCAAAACAGCTTTTGCCAAATCAGCTAGTAATATTATAATATACATGACTAGGTGGCGCCGTTGCTAAGCTTATTGGCTTCGGCGTCGGGGGTCGTGGGTTCGGTTCCCACATGGGAGAAGTGTTTAAGTGACCTATAGTGTTGTTCTGGATCTGGGTGTTTGATTCCCACGGAGTGACTTCAGGCAGGCGGCTGGTTGTAAAAAGAAACATAACCAAAACAGCTTACAAATTGATGTGTCGACCCCATCTAGTTGGGATCAGGGCACGAGTATGATGATGATTATAAAGATAGATTGACACCAGGTGCGAATCATATCGAACGTTTAATATATTTGTAATTCATAGAAGACTGGTAAACCCGGCCGCGATATGCTATGGGTGAGTTGGACAACATTGGAAAACCAAGAATTAAAAAACTATTCTTTCACTGTCACAGCTTGTTTTTGGCAGCTAGCAAAAAATGTTTAATAGACGTCTCCATAGCCTTATTTAACCCGGCCCGATGGTAGAAAAGCGTTTGAACATGCCAAGCCGACAACATCAAGCTACTATATCCTCCAAGCACGCAACGCAATAATCTTGTCAACTTGGGCAAGGTAAGTTCAAACTATATCCACAATCACGCCAGCACTGGGTCTGTTGTATCTTGTTTTACCTTAAGTTACGCTTTAAGTCCGGAGACTAAATATAAAGCTTTATCTAATATCGAACCCGTAGAAGCGTTTCTACGATGGATGGATCCTACGCACTTCCAATCAGATAATAGCTACCGATCGAGCCGAGGTCCGGCCCTCTTGGGCACCCGCGAATCGGAATGCTAAACGCGTGTTATGTGACAGCCCAAGCCGAGGTCCCCTCTCCGGGACCCTTAAGCCTGATCATTCCATGGAGCGCCCGCCAAAGCGCGAGCTTGGCGGCCTCCCAAACCGGTGATAATAATAGCGGGCCGTCACGCTATTATTGGAACTGTGAAGGCCCCTAAGGCCAACAGTGGCTCATCCAGTCCGAAAAAAAAAGCCTACGCACTAGCTCGTATACCAATACACATGCTTGACTTACTAGTCTGCTTTGGATGCGCAGATTATGTGTTGGGGTTGTCGGCTACGAGGCATCAAAATTTGCTAGCAGGTTATTAATCGCTGGTAGGGTACAAGTATCTATAGGTACGCGGTTGGGTTAAGTTGTATAGAGTGCTCGTTGATGCGAACGTGTTATTCTTTAACAAATCCCAATTCTCAACCAGTTCGATGAGGACGTTATGTGAGTGACGTCTGTAAACAGTCATGTTTGAATGGGGCTGGTAATTGGCTGTGTTTACTTCTTGGGGATTGGGATAACTCTCGCCCCTATCGAAGAATCTTTTTTGACATCTTTCTTTAAAATAATCAGGGATGTCGAACAAGAGCGTAGGTCTGAGTGTTTTAAAAAATTTGTTATTAATGAGGTCCAGACCTGGGGCGGAGCGCGATTTTAATCCTTTGTTCTCGGCTAGAATTACTGCGATTGATATTGATCATAGGCTACTTTTATGCAATTATCCAGCAAGAATCACGTAGCCTTAACAAGACGGTAGACAGAGATTTTTGCGACTGTTTTGGGGGTTCTTTGCCACGCTGTTACCACGCAACAGCCTTCACTGTTGCACAAATGGGAATGTCTACCCAAGGAAGTACCCACGCGCTCACTGCAGACCGGCGTGAAGTGAAAGAATTATACTTCTGCGTTTCGTCTGGTGTGTGATTACCCATTTTATTAAAAGCTGGCAACGCATTTGCAACCCTACAGGTATTGATAATGTCAATGGGCGTCGGTTATCAAGTAATATCAGGTGTGCTTGCTTGCCATTTTCGTACATAAAAAACTCTCTTTTGAGCAATCTACACATAACGGTGGACTAGATGTCACTTAAGGCCCTGGGGTACTCTGGAGTGCTATGATCTCTTTAGCTAGAGTGTTGGTGCATTTGACATAAAAAGGGCGGGCATAACAGTTACGAGTAGTATGTCTGTACTATTGACAGTTGTTGCATTGAGCCATAATACCAATTTTCTTTATGTTTAATGCGGATACCCAAGAGTCAAATATATTTAATGTTAAAAATAGCCTTACCCTTGGGGGTAAGGTCAAATTGCCGAGATCTTAAAGATAGCACATTCTAAGATTTCTAACTGCACGAATGGGCAGGAATTTCGGAGAAGTACCACAACCTCTGAGAAGACCGGCGTGAAATGGAAGTGTCATACATACGTTTCGTCTGGTGGGTGTTATAGCTGGGACACGCTTTATTAAAAGGTGGCAATGCATCTGCAATCCTGCAAATGGCCGTGGGCATCACTTAACATCAGATGAACCGCCAGCTCTCTTTCCACCTTCTCCCATAAAAAATGTCAATATATGGTTATTAATTGATAAGAAACCAAGTCAATAAATGGACCTAATCCAATATTTTTCATTAGGGTAAATAGTTAAATAATTTTATTTTTATTAACATTAAAAAAATGATTTTAAACGACTGCTTGTTAGTGCAACTTGTTTGAAACTTATAAAAAAAAACGTTACGTTACATTTAACAACAAACATTATACACGATGAATTCATACACACTTAATTAAACAAGTAAAAATCGCGATATACCACTATTGGCCTTTACAGATCCGCTGGATTCGAGGTGGCCGCTCGGGGCGTCAGCATGAACCTCGGTTATTATAACGCCGTATGGTGACTAGGCTCTAGGGTTTATTTAGGAGCCTCAGCTCAGGCCGTCACACTGTTATGAATTTCACCGGGTTGGGAGGCCGTCAAGCTCTTGGGGCGATTTGGCGGGCGCTCAATGGAATGACTACGTTAAAGGGCCTCCGAGAGGGGACCTCAGCTTGGGCTGTTAACTCAATACCCGTTCAGCTCGGCTCGCGCGGTAGCTATTCTGACTAGAAAAATTTCTAGATCAATCATTACTACAACTTCGGAAAGCGTTGGCGCAGGGAGAAGTATTGCCGGAAGAAACTCCAGCAACGCTTCTATCATAACTAGGGAAAATCTGCCCGGTACGTGGCACGTATATGTTTACCTCACTCGCCGGCGAGTGCGGTGTGTTCTGGTGTGTTTACAAAGTTTTTTTTTTTTAAATATGTGTATAACAATGATATTATAAACTACAGGTAGGGATTTTATAAATACCCTTACAAAATTACCGGTCGTAATTTTTTTTGTAAAAAACATTGCCCTTACTTTAGAATTACATTATCATTTTTTTTATGCGAATAGTTGTCAAATGAGCAGACGGTTCACCTGATGTTAAGTGAATACCGCCGCCCATGGACATCTGCCACACCCGAGGGTTACAGATGCGTTGACAACCTTTTGAAAATTGGGCTCCGGCTACCTCACTCACCAGACGAAACGCGAAAGTGTTTGTCATACTTCCACTTTACGCTGGTCTTCTGTGAGGTCGTGGTACTTACGCGGACGGGCCTGCCTATTCGTGCAACAGCCGAGGCTGCTGCGTGGCCCTACCATCGTCATGTCTTGTAAGGACGTTTTACAAACATAAACTTCACGTGGACAAACACCCAGGTGCGAACGAAGTATCTGTAGATCACACAAATAGTTTTCCCGTGTGGGAATCGAACCCGCGACCCTCGACGCTGAAGCCAATACTTCGGCAACTCCTCCACGAAATAAGTCATCCTATCTTATTTCCAAGGAGAGTGAGATCACATATTCACACGATCACTTTGAATGGTACTTACAAAAATAATAGCGTAACTATAGCAATAAGAAAAAAGAGGACGGCTAGTGTTTGTCACTTTAGCGTATGAAGAAATGTCGAGGTGCTTCGGTCGTTCTCATTCCCGTATTAAATTTATTTAATGCCTTTATTTTTTTTCTAACCTACACAAATTAAAATATGAAAATACTTAAAATATGTTAATAAATCGAAGATATATTGTATTATGTACATAATATGAGATCCTCTGAATTTTTTTAACTTTAGAGTCGTACTAGGTACTCTTTTAAAGACGCAGACGGCATTTTAATTATTGTAAAATTTTCCACTTTTAATATAGAAGAGACATCCTAATTGGCGAGGGTTTCGTGGCTTCACTTTGAGTTTGTTAGCAGCATATCTGCAGAGATCCGTTGGTCGCCCTAGGCTCAGCCCTAGACATAGGACTACAAATAAAATTTGTCACCAAACATCTCACCAAATTTTGCCGCGGAATATTTGACCTATAGGGAAATCCGCCCTTGTATCTGTAGTATAATATCATTGCGTAGAAAATAAAAGATTTTATGACCTGTCATTAAAGACTATTTTAACCGTATAGTTCACAATGTATAAATTTCCAATAAAATTTCGTTCTTTAATGATATATGTTACATTATAATTTATCATACTTCTATTGATATCCAAACCACGCCCAAACTCCCAAAGGTATTTTTTGTCGCCTACATCTATGGTTTAAATAAAATATACATGTATGATAAATACAGATGACAAATTTGAACAATAATAATTCCTATAACGATAAGATATAAAAATATATATATTAAAATAACTTATTTTGACAAAGAAAAATATATTAAAATTTTTGTTACATGAAATGAAATAAAAATGTAACAAAAAGATTTTTTTTTTCTCTTCAAATACCGCGTCGCCATTTATTATACTGTTCTCGTCTATACCTACCATCCTACCATTTTCTTCAAGGGTCTTTTTGGTGTCAATTGTTATTTAAAATGATCTTTAGGATATAGAAAAATTATGTAATTAATTAATAAACGGAGTTGGAAAACGTCAGAATATTAGTATAACTCTAATAATTTAGTAAAAGTTCATAGAGTTGTGTGTTTGTTGTTTCGTTACGAACATTGAGTCGGCGTCTAGTCATTTTCAGAACATGACATCTTAAGAACCTTTTAAAATGACAGCTTGATTTGGTTTGGTTTCCGCTACTGTGCTGTTGTGCTATTTTTTTGATTTTTGATACGAAAATCGGAGGAATATGTCGATTTCTACTGCTACAGGTATATAATTCAATGGATTGTACTGAATTTTAAATAGCTCTTTCAAAAACACCGTATATTTTTTGTCAAACATAATAGAATTATGTTTTCGGACCAAAGCCATGGAATCCCATATGGCGGGTCATACTTCACATGATTTAATGTCAGTACATAGTGAATTCGAATTTTGTTTGTGCATTACCATTTCTTCGCAATTAGTGCATAACATTTGTTCGTTGCAAATTTTAGGTTAAGCTTTAAGTTTTTTATTACTTCTTGTTAAACATAAATTTTCGTATTAATTATAACGAGACAACTCCGTAACTGCCGGCAAAGACTCCTAGGTTTTTTTTGATGCGACATGTTACAAAAAGGCTTTTGGCATAGACGGAGGAGTAGGAATTTAGGGAATAATTTTATAATTCAAAAATAACCTTAGTGAAATGTAATTATATCATTTTTGATTCACAGACGATCGTACTGAAGGGGACGACGACACATCACAAGGGAGCCAACCAAAAGATGACAGTAGTGACTCTGAAAATGACAATGAGCCCCAAAGCCAAAATGGTGGTTCCCCAAGTCCTGAGGTTCATGAGATTACAAGTGATGAAGAAGATTGTGTAGTGACTAATGATGATGATTCATCAAGTTCTAGTACTGACTCCAATGACAGTTCAGAAGAATCACAGCAGAGTTCTAAAGATAGAGATGAAGAAAAGAAGAAAGATGTGGAAAATCTGGAGAATGGTGGTGATGAATCTGACATTGAAGAGGTATCTGCTGAGGATCCTCTTAACCAAGCCCAGAAAACTAAGCCCATAGTGATCAGTGACACTAAAAGTTTAGCTAATCTTACAAAACAAAGTAAATCCAGTGAAGGTGATCAAAATAAGGAGCCAACAGTTGTCATAATAGACACAAATTCAATTTTATCAGGTAAATCTGTATCTACACCAGTACAAAACAAAACTACCACAAGTAGTTTTGATGCTCACAATTTGTGTCAAAGCATTGCTGCTAGAGGTACCACAATTACTCCAGTAAGTAGCAAGACAAGTACTGCTGCAAAAAATAATCTTCCACCCATACCTCAACCTAATATCTTACCTTCTTTGACTGATGACATGTTTGTGGTAGAAGCACCTTCTTTCATTGTCCCTTATGTTTATGAGAAGCCTTCTGTAAAACCTTTCAGGGAGTTTGTTGATAAGCTTGGAAAACAGTTAGATGAGGTAAAATTAAAGGAAGATCAAGAGAAGCAGCAGAAAGATGTGGAAAAAAAGGAAAAGAACAAACTAGACATAACTGAAGGAAAGGAAGAAATGGAGGATGATGGTGATAGTGCTGATAGCACCATAAAAGATGTTGAAGAACCAGTTAAAGTAAAGAAACAAGAGAAAAAGAAGCGAAGAAGAGGAAACATGGATGATGATGATTCTTGGGATGGCGAGTCTTCAAGTGACTCCGATGAAGATGCAATGTCTGATGATGATACTATTGTTATAAAAGATAAAGATGATGGAGAAATGAAGGATCCTATTAGTATAATGACAAAAGGTCTTATAGGCAAAAGTGACAGCTATTTTGACTGTTCACTTGGACAGTTTTTTATTAACATTGGATTGAACCTTGTTCAAGAATTTGTTCAAAGTGATTTGCTAAAGCAACAAAATAGAAAATTATATAAAGAAAAGAAGTCTGGCCGTAGCACTAAGGCCACTGAATCTGCTATAGTATCACTCACTCAAAATTTAGAGTTTAGCAAGAAAGTAAATGCACCATATACCCTTAAACAGAAAAAATGTGAATTTTGTAGTTTTAAGACTGAATCAATGCTTATAATGGCTCATCACTTAGAAGCACCACATATGCGGAACAATATTTATAAATGTAACACTTGCCCATTTGAAATTCGCAGTCCACATGACATATTATTTCATATGGAAGCTGAACATAACATCAGGGGTAGACTTGAAAGAGCCCCAGCCTATCAGCAGTGTGCTAACTGTCACTTTGAAGATAACAGTAAAACAAAACTGGCCCGTCACATAATTTCATGTGCTAAAAAATTCAAGCCTGAATTCAACCTAGCCCCTCCACTTGAGTGGGAACCACCTGCGAAAATACCAAAGTTAAACAGACCTCGCAATAATCTTGTAGGGCCTTATCAGCAAAACTTTAGTAGGTCGCAAGTTGGAATGAACAGTTTAGGTAGACCACCACTGAATGTTAATATTGTACCAACCATGCCTGTGCTAGGGCGACCACGTGGCCGTCCGCCCATGTCGAATCCTGTCCGAGCACCAGTTTCCGGAGTGCCAATTATACGAAGTGGTGTTATGATCATGCACAACAACCCTCCTTCAGGAACAACTATTGGTAACTATCCTATTATGCAGAACAACCAAGCAAACCATGCATCTGCCACTCCAAAGATATCAATAACTCCTCTTCCCCGAGCACCACAGCCATCTTCATCTCAAACACCGCAAAATTCTAAGGCAACATTTGTAATATGCGAAATTTGTGATGGTTACATTAAGGATTTGGAACAATTAAGAAATCATATGCAATGGATACATAAAGTAAAAATTCATCCTAAGATGATATATAATCGACCACCACTTAATTGCCAGAAATGTCAGTTCAGGTTTTTCACAGACCAAGGCCTTGAGAGGCATTTGCTAGGTTCTCATGGGCTAGTGACCAGTTCCATGCAGGAAGCTGCAAATAAGGGGAAAGATGCTGGAAGATGTCCCGTTTGTGGTAGAGTCTATCAGTGGAAGTTACTAAATCATGTGTCAAGAGACCACAACATGCCACTTAAACCAGCACACCTCTCATACAAGTGCACCGTTTGTACTGCAACATTTGGAATGTACAAACAGTTCGAAAATCATGTATACTCTGCTCACAGCGTGGTTGCTAAACGGGTTATGGATAAGAATAAGGCCACTGGTACTCCAATCAAGCCCGATAGTGATTCATTGCTCAAACCATTAAAGATCAGTGATGAGATAACAATTATACCACAACCGAAATCAAATGTGACTATTACTGCAAAAGGCAAATAGCGTTAATATAGATAAAGCATAAGAATTGCACTCAGGCCCAATATAAGCCCAGCCAGATTCAGTGATGCACCTTCATGATATAAAACAGTATTGTGTAAATAGACCTAAGTTATATTATCATACTTATTTAAATGTGTACTGAATTGGGAAGCAAACATTTAGTGACAATTTAGTTAATCAATTATGTGTGGATGTTATTTTAATCACAAAATAATACAAATTACAAACATAGTTTAAGATGTAAATTCGGTGTATAAAATTGCTGCCCATTTAGTTTTCCAACAAATAATGTATTTTGAGTGAACCATTAGTACTTCTCACTATTTGTATATGACTATCCTATTTTCATTTTCCCGTCACAAAAGGTGATAAATATAATTGAAGATCTGCTCCATTGTCGCTTTGTTTTAGTAAACGTAATTCAATGTGTATTTAGGTGTAGTTTATAAATTTTCAAAATTATAGAGGGAGGGTTTCATCAATAATGCGATATTTTCGTTGCTTTTAAAAATATTAGAAATAAACCATTAGTTGGTCTTGATAAGCTTGACCAACTTTTGTCATGTGCCTATGTGGTCTAGGCATTTTTTATTATTTTTTTGTTCTATCTAATTTATTGCTTTCATCTATACATTTGTCCAAGTTAATTTCATGTCAAATGGATTTAAGCAACATTGTAAAAATACAATTCATAAGTTTTCACTTTATAATGATTGTATAATACATTAATTATGATCATGTAAGTTTTGTCACTAAGTTAATTATTGTAGACTTTTATCATTTAAGAAAATAGTAATAAAAATAAATTCCCACATCCATCTCAACACCTGCCATGAAATGCTAATAGCATTTCTGGATACAAATTGCAGAGCACATCGGTCTTATTTAATTCTGATCTCAGGTTTGACTGGAGTGTTGATTTGGTAAAAGTTTACTAAATTGTTAACGTACTTATAGAACTGAAAATAATGTATTTTTTTTATTTAATAAAAAGACCATTGTAAGTATAATTTCTGCCTCATTTATCATCATTGTCTTTATTTTTCCCATAATTAGGATAAATTCCTTGATAAATTTGCGCAGTATTATTGAAAGCAATAAGATTTATATTAAAACTAGATACCAGTAGTACATTAAGGAATTTATAAACATAAACCAATATTCCTGAAAACTTATAACTTAAGTGTCATTGGTTATTACGTATTTGATTGTGAAGAAGATTTTCCGACTTTTATATGCTAAGGTTATTTATTTAACCATTCTAAAAGATGGTGGAGTTAGGCAAATCAATTATATTACTTGCTGAATATAATGTTGAAGTTTTTGAAGGATTGAATGCTTAAATTAGGGTAAATAATAATCGGAGTCTCTCATTTGTGAATTGTTTACCTTACATAGCTAGAAAAGGTCGAAAAGCGCTAACCACTAAATACGTGATAAAACGCGATGGCAATGTAAATGATGCACCAGTGCAGGTTTGCAGTATTTGTCCGACTGTACACATCAAAATTTTTTTGTTACGGTAGAAAATGATTATAATTCTTTTTTCCTTTTGCATTCTTAGTATATAAATGATACAATGTAGTCATCTATGAATTCAATCCAGACTTGCGCTCATTCAAATATCTTGTCAATTTCTATTTGTCTAATAAAGTTATGATTAAAATAATGCTCAAATGATTATATCATTCGGAATTGCTTACATCAAGCTGGATTACGAGCAAGAAAGTTTTGGCGTATCCCTCTGAACTCATGAAAAAGGCAGCGACGGACATTGTAATGGGCTAGGCACCGGCAGCAAAATCTGGAAGAGGTGGAGATTCAATTTTCTTTTCGTTGACGAATCAAATAACCGACGTGTTCGTATCAGGGATAGATCCGGAGACTGAAAAGCAAAGAACTTCCACTGAAACCGTTCAGCAAGTAGGAAATCAGTGTCTTTTTGGGGGAGGAATAATGTTTGGAGCTAGAACATCTTTGATTCCTTATCAAGGAAAAAGAAAAAATAAATTAAGGCGCCATGACTGTGACTATGTGTGGAATCGTAAGAATATTTAGAATAAACGATATGCAAATTCTTACTGGTCTATGATAATGTACTTGCACATAGAGCTCAACGAGTTAATACTGCTCTCTGAGGATACAACATCACAACATTAGATTAGCCTGCTGGTTCGCCTGTCTTAAGCCCGATCCCACGAGTACTCTGCGTGGGATGCTTTTAGGCCACCTGGGTAGAACCATCAGCCACGTCCCCAGACAGTGCAGGATTTCAGGAAAGTCGCTATTCAAGAATGGACAGGTTCAATGCCGCTTCATGTTCATATCGGAGCCCTAGGGCACACAAATATGGGGGCCTTGATGGAAAGTAAAAGATGTGAAGAACCAAAACATTTTTCTGTTATTATCTTATATTTTTTTATTTATTCTATAAACTTCTGTTGGAATATATCTACCAAAAATAGAGAAAAAAATTGTATAGTTTAAGCGTAGGACATGCGGGGCGCCCCGTGACGACACGGGCCCGGGCACGAGCCCCGTGTGACCATATGGTAAAGACGGTACTGGACAGGTTACCGCAAAATGCTGGATAACTTGATCCTCAGTATGTCTAGGATGATATCCACATGTGTTCGAGCCGTGATAAATTAATTTGTACTAAATAAAAACGTTGTCATGATAAATTTCCTAATTTTAATAAACCTACTTTTTTCCATTAAATTTTAGCCACAATTACATAAGTTTTATTTCAAAATGTGTATTTTTATTTTCTAAGAGATGTAACAAAAACTTTCACTCGATAAAGATATGTTTTAAAAATATATCAACTGATCGCAAACTTATTGTATACGTACACTTTAATTGGTGGTAAGTATAATGCTATTTTGTATGAAATAATTGTACGTAATCATATTCACCACTTTTTTTACACATACGTGGATGTTTTTCATGTTGCAACTAATATTCCAGTTATTTTACAACTCAGTGAAATGTATCAGGTTGTTAACATCATATCGTAAATTAATATTAGTTATAAGCGTAGGTTGTTGTGGCCACAACAGCTTCTGATGTTGTGGGCACAACAACGTAACTCTAACTAATGACGACGACGACGCAATGCCCTCTGCTCCATCTATTACATATCCGCGACCCCTATTAACGAAAGATTCATCAGATTCATCAAATCATTGTTCTATAAATGCGCTTTGAATCAAAGAAACCTTCACATTCTAAGGTCCCTAAAAATAAAATAATAATTAACCAAGCAAAGAATTTAGAAAACAAAAGCAAGTCTACAAACTGTTAAAATAATAACTAACACTAGACGTAAATTCATAACTTTTAGCAATTAACGACTTCCACTATACTCTGTGCATTATGAATCTGTATCTTCCAGAGTAGGAGATTTTTGATTCTTCTTTCTTTCTATTCGTTTTTGGCGTGGGTGATGGTGGTAAAAAGGAAGCTGAAATGGTTTTCATGAAATGATTTTTTAATTGTGAGTACCTAATTTGTTTTAATTAAATAATTGCTTAACCACAACCAGTCGTTATAAATGTGACTGTTTTCATCAACACGTTTATTACAATTATTGATCACATGGCCATAATAAGAAAGCTTCGGTTTGCCGATTATATGAGCTTTTAACTTTACAAATCGATGTTCCTATTCCTGAATTTATCTTTTAAGATAAGATTATTTGATATTCGCTTACACGCGCGTTAAACAGATAAGTGTTCTTATCTTTCTGTAGGTTGTATTGACAAGTGTCTATGCAATGGAAATGATGAGAAACCCACGAGCCGAAAAAACGTGTGATATGATCAACACGTGATTTTAAATGATAGGACTGACTTCGATTACATTTTTATTTAAAAAAAATAACAACCACTTCCGTAATTAATAAATTTCTTTCATTTTTGCAGATTCATCCATTTAAATACTTCACAGAAATGTTAAGATAGGTAAGGTTACAATTATTCTACTTATGTAGGTAAATGGTTTCCATGTGGTAATTAACTACCGCATGGCAAGAAATTAAAAGTTGAAGTTTTACAAAACTTAAAAAAACTTAAAAATAGATTATTAGTGAATCTTTCACTAATAATCTATTTTTAATTTTTGTAATGCGTCTAATACATAGATATAATTTATGTATTTGATATATAAAATAATTAATTCAGTGATTTTTGAAGATTCAGAATTTCTTAATATTTAATACTTTTTTAACTACTCTCGTGATGATATCTAACACGAGCCGAATGTGTTATTTTGATAACAACATGATACAAATAAATGATAGGTCTGATATCCTATTTCACCAATTTTCGTCATATAAAATTTTTGCATGTCTGATGGTTTCATTTCTTTTTCAGGGAGGAATGAAAACCAAAATTGGGTAAAGTACTACGTACACGCCTCCTTTATATAAAAAAATAATAATTAAAACTTGTTAAAATTAACTAAGGACATTGGCTATGTTATTGATTAACTAAAGAGGAATAACTACACAGTATATATAATCATAACAAAGTTTCATACCAAATATAGTGATTTTAAAATTATGGACAAGTACTTTTAAAATAACTATATTTGGTAAAATAAACGTTTTATTTAATTTTTATTTATTACTTTAATTTTTTTTTAAGTAAAACTGCTTTAAACTTTTTTTATTGTGTAAATAAATAAAATTTATCTTATCTTTTGGTTAAAGATGATATTCTTAAATTGCAACACTAACTCAAGAACTCTAGAATTCGTATTCTGAGGAATACAAATTCTAGATGCTATGCGTGACCTATATCGCCCACCTCTTAAAATATTTGCATAAACTGAATTTTGTACAAGTCCTCCTGGAAACAAGGCGTGTAATGTTAGATTCATGTAATTCATGACTAGTTTACATATATTCGTATTTAAATACATAAATAAACCTTGTGAGTTAATCATATTGTGTAACTTTATTTCTCCCATCTTGTTTGTGTTGATTTTATCAA